CTCTTAATTATTATAATGACCCATTACTAAAAATAGAAAACTAAAATCTACCACTAGGAAATATTTCTCCATTATTTTTCAGTCCAATTCTACCCTACAGTGGGGCACTTGGGAACTGTCATTTTCATCACTAATTAGCGACAGTCCCAAATCATTGGCCAACTTGGCCGAAAAGAGCACTATCAGTCCACATAGTGTGCCACGTGGCACAAAATGCCAAGGGACTATAAAATAAATTAAATTAAAAAAAACCGAAAAGAAAAGAAAAGAAGAAAAAGTCTCATATGACTAGGCGGCCATGACCACAAAATACTTTGACTCACGTGCATGTAGGTCCTAAGTAGAGGCATTAACGACCACATTTAGCAATGGTCACAAGATATTCGTCCACCATCACATATTTTGATTGTTTTGATAAGTCACAATCTCACCCGTGCTTCATTCGGTCCGCTGAGAGTTTAAGCACAACTCACAGGATGATTCGTCGGTTGAATTTGATATTTGATAATTCAGAGATTTTAAATTTAATTCTTTTTTATATTCATTAAGTGTTAGTTATCTTTATTCTTTTAGGAATCTACTATAAACCTAGTTTAAATCATAGTGACCAACCATTGAACTCGAAAGAATAGTTAACGTAACCCTAAAAACCTTGTAGCAAAAAAAAATAAAAAAATTGACACAATCACTTCCTGTGATTTCAAAATTGTAGCATTGAGGCCTCTATAAGCATCAACAAAGCTGATTATAACAAAAGTATGTTCAAACTACAAAATTATGGTCTAAACAGAGTAGGTCTCTACTTCTGAAGCTTCTCATCACGGGAACAACAAGTAATGTTCAATCCAAATTCTCAGAATTTCATTAATGACTCAGCTTCTAGAAGATAAGTGCAAAAGATAAATTCGAAAGCATTGGTCCAGTAGGTGAGTTCTAGTGGCAAACTTCTATATGACAACTGAAGGAGTTGATGATCCATCCAAACACCAAAGAGCTTCTCTTTACTACTTAGTATACGAAGAAGATCATTTTAGTTCAGCATTATTTCTATTATATTATTTTAGATAAGACTCCTACCCACCTTTTGTCATGTGATGTACTAAGTTCTTGATATATAATCACGAATGGTTGAATCATTAACGTTCTTTCCCTAATTACTTCCAACATCCATCAACTTATATCAATTATNATGAGTTCTAGTGGCAAACTTCTATATGACAACTGAAGGAGTTGATGATCCATCCAAACACCAAAGAGCTTCTCATTGCTACTTAGTATACGAAGAAGATCATTTTAGTTCAGCATTATTTCTATTATATTATTTTAGATAAGACTCCTACCCACCTTTAGTCATGCGATGTACTAAGTTCTTGATATGTAATCACGAATGGTTAAATCATTAACGTTCTTTCCCTAATTACTTCCAACATCCATCAACTTATATCAATTATTTCAGTTAAACTTAAATCTACCCAGTAATAGATCTGGAGAATGCAAATTATACCATTGATCAAAAGTTCTGAACTTCTTGATGGACTCCATCAGAATGGTCCTCCATCATCAACGATTAATAATTAGGTAAAAGAAACTCCAAATCCCAAATTTGAAGGATGACAGAATACANGTTGGGTTTCTCTCCTTTGTGGGACTCATCAATTTGCTAATTTTTTGGTGGCCTACCCGTGTATGACTCTTATCTAAGACTTGGTTTGGAGTCTTCTAGTTAAAAAGGAATTTGGCAACCACAAAAGACTATAAATTTTGTCCTTTCTTAGTTCTTCTCNTGATGGACTCCATCAGAATGGTCCTCCATCATCAACAATTAATAATTAGGTAAAAGAAACTCCAAATCCCAAATTTGAAGGATGACAGAATACAGATTTATTGTTGCGTAGTTGGATTACATGGACTCTTTGAGAAGAAGCTCTTAGTCATGCATGTTGTCGGTTTCAACACTTCATGAGAAGTATGGCATTTGATTAGAAGAAACAAATCTTCAGCCTACCCAAGAACGAGAACTTCAATTGAAACACCCACTTCAGACTCCGAAGAAAGACAACGCGCCTTTAGATGAATACTTGATGAGATTCAATATTACTTGTGATAGTCTTACAGCCATAAAAAAACTTGTCTCCGGTGAAGACAAAATGATTCAACTCTCTCTTTGTCTGGGCAAGAACTAATTGAAGCTAATGNCATTTGATTAGAAGAAACAAATCTTCAGCCTACCCAAGAACGAGAACTTCAATTGAAACACCCACTTCAGACACCGAAGAAAGACAACGCGCCTTTAGATGAATAATTGATGAGATTCAATATTACTTGTGATAGTCTTACAGCCATAAAAAAACTTGTCTCCGGTGAAGACAAAATGATTCAACTCTCTCTTTGTCTGGGCAAGAACTAATTGAAGCTAATGACACCAATGAGAAAAAGGAAGTCAATCATAACCTTGCTTTCGTTGCCCAATGCAATGGTGAAAAAGGAAAATATTTTGGTTGCGGATGAGGCCACGTGGTCGTGGGGTTGCTTCCACAAATTCCAACCCCCCATTCCAAGGTCGTAGCTCTCAAACTCAATTCTTCACATGGTCAATGCCAATCACAAGGCCAAGGCCATTGTCCAAGAGCTTCAACTTCCTTCTCAGTCACTTCTCATTCCAACCAATGTAGAACATCGTCAAATCAAGTTGGTGGATAATCCAATAATTAGAATAATACACCTCTTAAGTGTCAAATTTGCAGCCGATTTTGTCATACAACTACAAAGTGTTGGTTTAGATACAATTACACTTTATGGTAAGGCTTTACCTCAGGCATTTTCTACAACTACTCTCTCTGGTTCCTCAAACCGAGCTCATCTCACAATTAAAGATATTCACTACTGCATATCGGAGCTGTGTCTCATATGACATTGTATACAAGTAATCTCCACGGCTTGAGTAAGTACAATGGACATGATAATGTTCGTGTCGGTGATGGCTTACAATTAAAAAACTCTCATATTGGTAATACTACTTTGGCTTCTGCTCATGGCAATCTCGATCTTAATGATGTGTTAGTTGTACCTACAATTAAAAAGAATCTCATATCTACGAGTCAGCTTACACAAAATAACTCCTGTATGTTTGAATTATCTTCTTTTGGTTTCAAGATACAGGACTGAACGGGGAAAATANATTGTACCTACAATTAAAAAGAATCTCATATCTACGAGTCAGCTTACACAAAATAACTCATGTATGTTTGAATTATCTTCTTTTGGTTTCAAGATACAGGACTGAACGGGGAAAATACTAAGAGCCGAACATAGACAAGGTGTCCTCTATGCTTTAAATAAAGCAGGAGCAAGCGAACGTTAGTTACAATAAAAACTGGCAAGGTACCAATAGATCTTTGGCATCAACGACTTGGGCATCTGAACTCCAAGCTCCTTCATGTTTTAGCCTCTAGAAATATTATTAATGTTTCTCTATGGTTGAATTCTTTAAAAATTGTAGTAGTTGTCAAATGGGCAGAAGTTGTCGTCTTCCTTTTTCTTTAAATAACAACATTGCATCTTTTCCGTTGACAAAAATTCACTGTGATTTATGGGGACCAATTATCTCAGTGCAACAATCTAAATATTATGTTGTCTTTATAGATGATTTCACTGATCATTGTCTCCACCCTTCTTCCAAATGGGTGTTTTTGTCCTATGATGTAGTGTTTGAACCCAATTTTCCATATTCTAACTTGGGTTTGTTATTTTCCTTATCATATACTAATAGACATCTCACAACATATTCTAAATTTTCAAATGGATTTTATCCAGCGCAGTACTCTTTTGCGGCGGATGGATCTCCACCTGTAGCATCGGATTCCCCCATTTTGTTGCTTCATTGCACTCAAGAAAATAGTGCATTTATTATGTCCAACACTACATCGACTACCATGAAATTTTCTCGCACTCCCAATGTCACTTCTCAATCTCCCAATGAAGGCCTACTTAAAGGTGTCCCACATCACCATGTTTTCCCCTCACAAATGTGGCNGTGCACTCATGAAAATAGTGCATTTATTATGTCCAACACTACATCGACTACCATGAAATTTTCTCACACTCCCAATGTCACTTCTCAATCTCCCAATGAAGGCCTACTTAAAGGTGTCCCACATCACCATGTTTTCCCCTCACAAATGTGCCTACTGTTGAAGCCAATCAGCCTAAACCTGAGATGTGTCCAACTGTTGTGGTGCATCCAGATAGCCCTCAACCCACTACATCATCACCTGCACATGCTGCAGTGTGCCCTTCACCGCTTGTTGCGCCCAATTCACATGTTGTGATGCATCAAATTGTCACAATGCCTTCACCTAGNCCTACTGTTGAAGCCAATCAGCCTAAACCTGAGATGTGTCCAACTGTTGTGGTGCATCCAGATAGCCCTCAACCCGCTACATCATCACCTGCACATGCTGGAGTGTTCCCTTCACCGCTTGTTGCGCCCAATTCACATGTTGTGATGCATCAAATTGTCACAATGCCTTCACCTAGTCTACCCACGGATACTCTCCCCACCCCCGACAACATCGTTATTACTTCCTTTTAGTCCATTATCAATTGCAGTTGATGGTATCACAAAATATCTAANATGCCTTCACCTAGTCTACCCACGGATACTCTCCCCACCCCCGACAACATCGTTATTACTTCCTTTTAGTCCATTATCAATTGCAGTTGATGGTATCACAAAATATCTAAGGATGAGCTCCCCAAGTCCTCCAGCTCAGGAGCTCAGCTCATCAGTGTCACTGATGGCTCCAACCTCAGACCTCAATCCCCTGTATGCATACCTCACAAAAGTTTGTTTAAAAGACAATTGGATCCCAACAAATCCCCCATCTTTCTGGGGTCAATAATCACCCAGCTGGCACAAGTCTAGTTGCTAAAAAAGGGAGAACCGTTACAGCTAAAGGGCGAGAATCTCGCCCCAGATCAAGCAAATCCTAAGAATATCTATAAATAAGAGGCAAAGTCCTTGAGAAAATATATAGTCATTGTAGCCTTGTAAAGTACTCTCAGAAAAGCATACGCAACAAATTAATATATTCATGAGCAAGAGACTCCTTTGAGAGTGGATTAATTGAACTCTCGAACTGGTGAACCACTATAAACACTCTGTGTGACCCCCTACTTATTTAAAGACCCTATTCCCAAGAGCCTTGCAGCTCAGACTAAACCAAATCACACCGTTCAGTATACTTTAAATCGACATCACTGCTCAATTTTGTTAAGAACATCACCACAGCCAAGATGGCAACTCAGGAAATACCATTCGTTTTAGGATTTGAGACTGAGGCAGTGACACTTGTAGAGGGTAGCATTTCATCCCTCATGATGGAGCTCTCAGATCCCGAGCACAACAATAAATCACTTCTGCTTAACTTTGACCTCTCGGATAAAAAGAGGNCTTGTAGAGGGTAGCATTTCATCCCTCATGATGGAGCTCTCAGATCCCGAGCACAACAATAAATCACTTCTGCTTAACTTTGACCTCTCGGATAAAAAGAGGGACAAGGCCTTGCAACACTTCATGAGTTACCAAAAAAAAACAACAAGATACTATAACAAGAGGGTCAAACTCTGAAACCTCAAAGTCGGGGACCTAATACTCAAAAAGTTTNAAAAACAACAAGATACTATAACAAGAGGGTCAAACTCTGAAACCTCAAAGTCGGGGACCTAATACTCAAAAAGTTTCTTCTTGCAAGAAAGGACCCTATTTACGAAAAGTTAGGACCTAATTAGAAAGGTTATTATATCATCTCAAAGACAATCAGACCTGGGAACTAAGAATATCACCTTCACCCTCCCCTCCCCCAAAAAAAAAATCATTTTTGAAAAAAAAATTCACTAATCTGTTACATTCATTTTCACCCAAAAAAAAAAAATGTAGAACCAACATTAGTAAAAATTCAAATGTGGGTCAGTTAATGTGATTATATGCCACATAGAAAAGTTTAATTGGAGGAGCCTTTTAAAAATTCAAAATTATAAAAATTTAGTATTTCATAAAGGGAGGTTTCTCAAGCCTCTCTCAAAAAATTTGATTGTTATAATTAGTTGCAAGTATAGATAAGTATAAGAGTACAGATTTTCAACCTTTACAATTGGCATGTAATAGAAGTCTCCAATTTAACGCCCCAAATTTTTTCTCAAGATATACCTCTTGTGAATTCCTTAATGCTCCATTTGGTAATAAGGNTTACAATTGGCATGTAATAGAAGTCTCCAATTTAACGCCCCAAATTTTTTCTCAAGATATACCTCTTGTGAATTCCTTAATGCTCCATTTGGTAATAAGGATGAAAAATAAGAGGGATATACTTTATATCCTTCAAGGATGAAAAATATGAATGATACACTTTCTTTTCTTTGTGTTTGGTTGGATTGATGGAAAATAAAAATAATTTTTTTTAATTTTTTTTTTGTGCTAACTAAGATTAGTGGTGATAATCGAGTCATTTCGTATCAAATTCGTGTTGAATCATAAAGTAACGAGTCTTTTATATTTCTTATTCGTGTGTCAAATCATTTTCAAGTTCGTGTCGAGATATAATTAAGTTTGTGTCATAAAATTCGTGTCGAGTTCCAGTCGTGTTATCGTGTGGAGTAAAAAATTTTCACCTTTAGTTAAGATGAAAAAAATATTTTTTTAATTTAAAATTTTTTTAATTTTTAATTTTTTTAATATATATTATCATTGTATTTTTATTTGAAATATATATAGACAAATTCATAATACATAGACAAATAAAATACATCTCAATACAAATAATTAATTTTACATTCACTTTCCTTCTAATTTTTGAGGGATTGATTTTTTTGAGTTGGAAAGAAAGTTAATCCATCCACTTTTTTATTGTTCCTATTTTCCTTTCTTATCAAACATAATATTTTATTTATCCCTTNTTGAGTTGGAAAGAAAGTTAATCCATCCACTTTTTTATTGTTCCTATTTTCCTTTCTTATCAAACATAATATTTTATTTATCCCTTCAATTTTCTATCTTTCCAACTTTCCATCCTTCTATTTTTTTATCATACCAAATGGAGCATAAGATTATATCATTATAGAGGTTACTATTAGGCCCAANTTACAATTGGCATGTAATAGAAGTCTCCAATTTAACGCCCCAAATTTTTTCTCAAAATATACCTCTTGTGAATTCCTTAATGCTCCATTTGGTAATAAGAATGAAAAGTAAGAGGGATATACTTTATATCCTTCAAGGATGAAAAATATGAATGATACACTTTCTTTTCTTTGTGTTTGGTTGGATTGATGGAAAATAAAAATAATTTTTTTTAATTTTTTTTTTGTGCTAACTAAGATTAGTGGTGATAATCGAGTCATGTCGTGTCAAATTCGTGTTAAATCATAAAGTAATGAGTCTTTTATATTTCTTATTCGTGTGTCAAATCATTTTCAAGTTCGTGTCGAGTTATAATTAAGTTTGTGTCATAAAATTCGTGTCGAGTTCCAGTCGTGTTATCGTGTGGAGTCAAAAATTTTCACCTTTAGTTAAGATGAAAAAAATATTTTTTTAATTTAAATTTTTTTTAATTTTTAATTTTTTAAATGTATATTATCATTGTATTTTTATTTGAAATATATATAGACAAATTCATAATACATAGACAAATAAAATACATCTCAATACAAATAATTAATTTTACATTCACTTTCCTTCTAATTTTTGAGGGATTGATTTTTGTGAGTTGGAAAGAAAGTTAATCCATCCACTTTTTCATCGTTCCTATTTTCCTTCCTTATCAAACATAATATTTTATTTATCCATTCAATTTTCTATCTTTCCAACTTTTCATCCTTCTATTTTTTCATCATACCAAATGGAGCATAAGATTATATCATTATAGAGGTTACTATTAGGCCCAACCCAAGCTCAACTCATGCCCTCTTCTTGCAAGTTTGGTTCGGACCAGTATCATTTATTCTACACTGAAATTGTACCTAATAACATGTATCTCGTGTGTGTGTGTGTATATATATAGTAGCGCGATCATAAAAATTATGTACCATAACTTTTAGTGAATACTTTTTATGTGAGCTGTTAAACCACTCAATGAAACCTAGAATTAAATGCTAAAACCTAATAAGTATGCCAATTGATTAAATTGAAAATTTCAATGGCATATTAATTGTAATTTTTACTCCTATTATTGCGAAGGTATACTAAACATTTTGAAATGAAATTAGCCAAAAAAAATGAAAAGATTAGCTACTAGTAAATTAATTATCACAAACCCAAAGCCTAAAACTCAAAATAATCATATGATCAAGTTTAAATAACCAATGTGTTTAACATATAGATCAACATCACCACAAATTTTAATAATCAATTATTAACTTACGTTAAATAATTCATTGATTAATTGAAACTTTCTAACATATTTAACCAACTAAACAATCCATTAATCAATAAAATTATTCAATGACTTTAAGTGGTGGTAGCTTGAGTTTAGTTCATTCACAAAAGTGTAGGACGTGTCTTTTGTGCATGAAAATTGGGTACGAATTTCGGTACAAATAATAAAATAGATAAAAGATTGAAAACTCAAAGCGGAGAGAATCTGAAACAATGCATGTATAGTATGTTCAGATTAGATTCATAATCTAAAAGCATATAATAAATCATATGAGTCATAAAAATCAATAATAATTGGTTCGGGACATAGGGTTGACCCATGTAATCAGATTTTATAGAAGTAAAAATGTCATTTCTATATATTTAATTTCAATTGAAATATACTTTCCTAATAGGTGAAGAATTACAATTAATATGTTATTATATTTCCAATTTTGTCGATAGACATATTTGATAGGTTTTAATATTTAATTTTGGGCTTCATTAAATGGTGACCGTTAGATCATGATCTAATGACTCTCATAAAAAATACCCACTAAAGGGCTATGGTGCAGTATTTTTATAATCGCGCTACTATATATATACATTTTCCTGTGGCAAAATGGCTCTTAAAATCCATAAAACAATTTGTAGGATTTAGGTTAGTGTTAGGCCCAAAGATCACTTGCATTAGTATATTTTTGTTTTAACATAGGAAGTATACGTACCTGTGTATGTATGTGTGTGTATGCATTTTGTGTTGTATATACCAAGTTACAAATATAACAAACTTGTACTTAACATAAAAAATATAATCGAGTAAAATTGATTTTTGGCTATATTGTATGCCTGATTGTTTTTGTTATGGCCCTACTTTTTCAATTTTTAACGTCCAAATAATATATACTGGTTTATGTAGTCGAATCATGATTTAGACTTTGGTCTTGCTTGCAACTTTTTTTAGAGCCATCCTGGTACCAGATTAGTTGCCTTGTTAAGCAATTGCTACATGGATAAGGGTCACAACAACCCGCCGGAAATAGACATGTCAATGGATCTGGTTTGGACCATATTTGTGACTAATCCGACTCCGAATTTGAATCTAAATCCGAATCCGGATCCGATTTTAAAGTCTGATTCAACAATTTGACAGATTTTATTTT